ATGAAAAGATGTGCAACATCACTAACAATTAGGTAAATGCAAATTGAAACTGGAATGAGATATCCCCTCCCTCCTGTCAGAATGATCACCACCAAGAAGACAAGAGACAAGTGCTGGCCAGGACAAGGACAAAAGAAAACCCCTGTGCACTGTCGGTGGGGATGTAACCTGGATCAGCCACTATGGAAAAGCTACAGAGGTTATGCAAAACTTAAAGACAGAGCTACCATATGCTCCAGCAGTCCTCCTTCCTGCTGAGCATCTGAAGGGAGTGAAAACAGGGTATTGAAAAGAAAGCTGCACTTGCATGTTTATTATAACGTTATTCACAATAGCCAAGATACGGAAATGACCTGAGTGTACAACAATGAATGAACAGATAAAGAAGAAGAAGCATTTATACAGAATGGAATATTATTCTGCATTGAGAAAAGGAAATTCTGCCATTTGTGATATTACAGATGGACATTGAGGGCTTTATGCTTGATGAACTAGACAGAGAAAGATAAATGTAAGATATCAGGTATACATGTAAAAAAACAAACAAACTCTTAGAAACAAAGAGTAGAATGGTGTTGGGGTGGAGGAACTGTGGAGACATTAAAGGGTACAAACTTGCAACCCGAAGATAAATAAGTCATGCAGATCAAATGCACAGCACAGTGATTACAGAAAACAGAGATGTATCAATCTTCAAAGTTGCTAAGATACTATCTTGTGAATGTTCTTGTCACAAAAAATAAAGAAAATTATACTTGTGAGTCATGTGAGAGGTGTTAGTTAAAGCTGTTTGTGGTCACATTGCTGTATGTAAGTGGATCAAATCAACACACTGCAGACTGTGAAAAAAGAAAAAGTAGAACTGCATGATTTCACTTACACATGTAATCTAAAAAAGCCAAATTCACACAAACAGAGAACAGAGTGGTGGTTGTCAGGGCCTGGGAGTCGGGAAGTGAGAAGATGCTCAAAGAGCACAAATGTCCAGGTTTAAGATGAGTGAGTTCTGGGAAATCTCACGAACAGCACGGTGACTACAGCTAACAATGCTGTATTATTTATCTGAAAGTTGCTGAGAGCAGATCTCAAAAATGCTCACCACAAAAGGGAGTTAGGTGAGTTTATGGAAGCAGCCTTACTGTGAAAATCACTCACAACATATACGTGTATCAAGTCACCACGTTACTTACTGCTAGGGCTGTGTCCTGGGTCACTGTCTAAGAAGAATTTCACCAGAGATGTCTCTCAGGACTCAGAATTCAGGTAGTCTATTTCACTTCATGGGTGAACATATTCAAATGGCCTGTGTATAAAATAAAAATATAATGACTAATAGTTCATTATGAGTGGCTCCCAGAATGTGTTTTAAAATTTTTGTTCCCATGCTTACATTTCACACTACTGTAACAAAATCAAATATGAGCCATCACAAATGGCACATTAGAACAATGATAACAGAGTCCTGAGCACAAAGATTCAATGTTTCTTCCTGATGTTTTCTAATCAAAAGTGTTTTTAAAAATATTTGAACTCAACAGTTCCTAGGTGACAGCTGAAAGTGACAAAATCAGAGAACCCAAAATGGCAGATGATCCTGTAAGTGATTATAGATGTTGCTACATTTTGTGCCAGAAGTTAATTATCTATTAGAAAGTTACATAAAAATACTTGAAGCTCAAACCCTGGAATGCTTCCCAATTTTGTTAAACTCATGTTATTACAATGTCTGTGTCCATTTAGCTGATGAGGTAGGTGAAGATAAAAAGTGATCTGTTCCTCTGTGTTTAGTACAATTAAAATAACTAACAATAATTACACAATGCTTTGAAGAAATCAGGTTAGATCTGGAATACAGATGGAGATATGAAAATACTTTTCCTTGCTCTATACATGAGTAGTAGCCCATCATGTACAAATATGTCTGATGACAAGGTATATTCATGTTAAAAAAAATGCCATCACCACAAAGGAAAGCTTTACTGATTGTACTGAAAATAAAAGGAAAAAAATAGAATTGGAAAAAAATCATGTTGACATAAAAATGCTCATGGTCACAGATACTATAGAGGAGCAACTGTGGCAGATGTATGAAGACGTGGAAGCCATCACTCCTCCACTGAATATGATTACACCAAATTGTGACTTAATAATTTCATAAACTTGACAGACAACATTTCTGCTCTATAGTTTAAAATATAACCTTTAAAATACTGTATAATGAGAAGTGTGATATTCTAATATCTGTTTTAAGAAGTGCGTTAGACACACGTAAGAATAGCCAATGGTCAGAAAGATCACATGCTATCAGCTACCACCCCATGCAAATCAATGGCATTTAGCAGATATTCATATATGTGTGCATATATAAAATGTGTATTGGTATATATGTAAATCAAGTAGAACATTATATTATAATCTAATGTAAAACTGTATCAGCAAAAGCACTGTGCT